GCAACTTGCGAATTTATAGAATCTGAAATCGTGAGGTCCGCTCGAGCGTGGGAATTGACGCTCGAGCAGGGACTCTATATGTCGTGTTCTGCACTAGGGTGTATGCTCGAGCGGGGAAATGGACGCTCGAGTGGGGACACTATATAAAGTGTTTCGAACCAGGATTTACGCTCGAGCGGGAAAACACGGATCACAGTATATTTGTAGACTCACCCAACTTCTGGAACTCCGCATTCTCCGCTCGAGCGGGGAACTGGACGCTCGAGCGGGGAGGCAACTTTGAATGTATTTTTGTATTTTGTTTCGGGGGCGCTGCCCCTCGACCCCGCGAGCTGACCGGGCAGCTCGACCCCCGTCATAATCAGCGAATGGCAATCTTGAAAGCATTAACATCACAAACTTCTTTGCAAGGCTCGATTCGGGTTGGATTCGCATCTAATAAATTCATAACCTCACAGAAATAAAAGTGCGAAAATAAATACAACTGAAAGGAGTTTTGTCAAACGGGGTTGCCAAGAATAAAAACCTAACAAACCTATCAATGCTAATGGCATGCACAAGATTCTATTATGTGCACAATGCACGCATAGCATGTTTGAAGGCTAAAGCATCAAAGCAAGTAAAGAGCATCATACAAGAGGCATGCAATACAGTGCTCAACCAACTAAACTAGCTCTGGACAGAGCTCAACCATGCCAAAACAAAGGCCAAAACATGTTGAAAAGGGAGCCCAAAATGCTAGAAGAACATGCACACATGTTGGCCTATGAGCAAGGCATAATACACAACCCTTAAAAGCTATGAAGAAGTGAAGTATATGAGAGTGTGACTACACTATATACACTGAAATTACTTGCTAAATGGTGCCATACCATACAAACATCACATGCATAACATGTTAAAGGCCTCAAAACCCAAAGCTAGGCAAGGCCCTTTACACTACAACCATACTAGGCAATGCTCAAATGGCCCTAACCATTCAAAACAGATCTAAGGCAGGTCAAAATAGGGGCAAAAACATGCTAGACTCACAGCATAGATGGCAAGAAAGATATGCTCATGTATTAGCTCATAAACAAGGCATAATGGCACAACTATTAAACACAATTAAAGAGTGATAAATATGAGAGTATGGCAAAGATATAAGCTCTGAAATACCATGCCAAATGATGCCAAGGCATGCAAACATCACAAGTATAGCATGGTAGTGGCCTAAAAACTCAAGACTAGTGAAGCCATTTAAACTATAGCTATACAAAGCAAACCCCAAAAGGCCAAGAACACCAAAAAAAGTCCTAAAGCATGTCAAAATAATGCTAAAACATGTATGGAGCATAGCCAAGACAAGCTAGCATGAAGGGCCAAAACACCAAGTACACTAGGCTAGTGAGCAAGTTTACACTACAAGTGTAAGATGCAAGCAATGAGTAGCCAAACCAGCCAAAAATAGAGTTTAAGCATGTCCAAAAAGTCACAAAAACAAGCTTGAAATGAGCTAATATAAGCCACAAAAAGATGCTACTTTATAGAGCTAACAAGGCAAGGCATGGCATGGAGAGACAAGGAGAGGAGGCTATCTCCTCTCATTTGGGACCTCAAAACAATCTTTTTGTTACTGAAAATCCCTTGGATTTCAGTGGTTAAAAGGCCAAAAAGAGCTTGTTTGAAAAGCTTTGAGAGATGGCTCAAAAGGCCTTACAAGCCAAGGAGCAAAAGGGAGGACACACCCCTTAGCCAAACAAGGCTTGAACCAACATTTTTAGGACTAAAAAACAGAGGAAAAACAAAGGTTTTTTTGGATTTCATCACTACCCCAAAAACAGCCCCAACGTAGTTGAAAACTAAGGCAAAACAATAGTGTACACAGAGCTTAAAAGGGATAAGGGGTTACCTTTGAAGCACAGCAGGAAATCAGCCTCTTTTCTAAGCCAAGCAACCTTCCAACAACCCAAAAATAGGTTCCAAGGGACCTCAGCCTAATGGTGATCAACTTTGATGAAGGATGCCTAGGCAGACTAGAAGTATTTCTCTACTTCTATGCACTTCTATGCACAAAAGGGCACGAAAGAGTAAACTATAGAGAGAGAGGCAGAGATTTAGCTCTGAAAGTTTTCTAGAGAGAGAGGATTCTAGAGTGAGAAGCTCTCAAATTCTCTCTAAGCCTTCCAAATGTTCTAACCCTTTGAATATGAGATATAAGGCTCTCATATATAGCAAAATATCAACTTGGGTCGAAAATATCTAAATTGGGACAGCTGAAGCAAGCTGGAAACAGCTGGAGGAGAAATATCTTCAAAAATTCTGAGTTTCGGTCACTTTTGGCCAACCGGCCATCTTTGGTGCCGACCTGCTACTTGTGATGGCCGATCAGCCATCTCCATGGCCGACTATGCACATTTGTGGCCGATAGGATATTCTGCTCTGCAGGTCCAACTTCAAAATGGGCATAACTCCTTCATATGGACTCCTTTTTAGGTCATTCTTGTGTCTAAAATGAAGCCCCAGAAGTAAGCTTTCCAATGGTGAAAACCTTGCATCAAAATTTTAAGTGTGCTAAGCGATATCCCTCTTTTAGTGAAGGCTGCTCAGTTTCGGTCCCAACCGGAATGATGCCCAACTTCAACCAATCGTATCTCCCTCATCCGGACTCGGCTTTAGGAGATTCTTGAATGCAAAAAGAAGCCCTATAAGTCTTCTTTCCAATGATGGTGGCCTTATAGCTTAAATCGAAGTGTATAGATAGATAGGCTTGATTTAGCGAGGATTGCTTGACTCTCTCTTAGCGATTCATACCCACCTTCTTCTTCAACTTGGTTTCTTCCCTCTCCTCCAATTTTCTTCAACTCCAAACCCCTAAACAAGGTGTTTTGAAATAGTTTCCAAAGATTTAATCTCTCTTTCATTCATTTCCACTTTGTCCTTGCTCGGTTTATCAAAAAGTGCAACATTTGACAAAATGCAAGCCTTGGAATATCGTAGAAACTTCTTTTCAAAAATATTTTGAAAGAGAGGGTTTTAAGTTCTAAAAACCATTCAAAATAGTTTGAGTCCAAAAATGGGGTGTGAGATTAGGTTTTGACTCTTCCCTTGCCGAAGAAATCGAACCTTTGCTCTACACAACTTTCATCACCAAAGAAGTTATCAGTAGAGCCCAAGTCTTAAGGGCGGTCAAAATGGGGTGTCTACATAGGGCATTTTCCCCATTTCTCAAATATTACTCCCAAGGGCCATATTTCACCCCATTATACACAATTTACCCATTTCCAAAGTTTCATAAACACATATGAAGCCCAAACAAGAAAACCCCTCTTTTATAATTTTCAAATCAAACCCTAACTTTGCTCAAATCTCCTAAACACTACTATCTATACAAAATAACCAACATTTATGTCAAAACCCATAATAAGGAGTAGTTTATCCGTACCTCAGATGGAGAGATTCAAAGGAGATGAAGAGAAAAACCCAAGGTGCTCCAAATCCAAGCTTTTTTGGATCAAAGGATAGCCCGCGTAATGCTCTACTTTTTTTACAAAGGGATTAGGGTAGAAACACTCTAGATCAAGTGTATTTGTAAAGAGAAGGAGAGTGTAGAGAGAGAGACGGCCGAATCTAGGGTTTGGAGAGAAATGGAGATGAAAAAGTGATGTAGAATCACGCTGCTGTGAATTGATATGTACAGGGCTCGCTCGAGCGAATGAGTGGTCGCTTGAGCAACCAGACACAAAAGGACCTCGCTCGAGTGCAAGAAGCGTCGCTCGAGCGAACAATGAGAAGCTTCAGGTCTGAACCAACACAGACGTACGCTCGAGCGAAGAAACACAAAACATGGTGCTCGCTCGCTCGAGCAAAGAATACCAACCTTTAGGTCTAAAAGAGACGCAAACGCATGCTTGAGCTCGCTTGAGCGAAACGACACAAGACAAAAAGCTCGCTTGAGCGCAAGAAAGCTCGTTCGAGCAGAAGCTGCGTCTGAATAAGAAACCTGAAGACCCACAATACTCGCTCGAGCGCACAAACCTTCACTCAAGCGAAGAAGCAAACACCCAAGGCTCACTCGAGCAGAAAAAGCCTCGCTCGAGCGAAGAAGGAAAAACCTGGGCAGTAACCATTACAAACTCAACCAACACATGCCAAAACTCAAACACAAGGAATTAAAGGATGAAAACACGACCAATACAACAACATACAATCACTAGACCCCAGTCCAGAATACAATAAATGACAGAAAAAATCGGGATTGCTATACTTAACATCACTTTCTCTGCACCAAATGCATACACAAATTTGAGCTTTTTCTTCTTCTTTGTTGATATAGAACTTTTGATTGAAAATATGCTAGTATCAATGTAAACAGTGTTGAATTTGAGGCAATGTTGAGGAAGTGGCTGTTTTGAACCCCAAAAATTGGTTGAAAAAAAGGATTCTCAAAAACTATCCCTTAAATAGAAACAAAAAAGCTTGTTAATGTAGTAAATTATTTAAAATTAATAGATGATTATTTTTCAAATATATTGTTTGTGTATAGAATGTTATTGACTATCCCTTTTACAATTGTTTATGGGGAAATAAACCTTTTAAAACTGAAATTGATTAAATTTTACCTTTGGTCAACTTTGTCACAAGAATGATTCAATGGATTTGATTGTTAAATTGAATTATGCAAGTTTGATTAGTAATTTTACTACTAATAATTTGAGTTTTATACTTGAGAATACGAAAGGTTAAAATTTTTAAATAAAATTTAAATTACCAACCAATTTGATTTTGCAAACAAACAAACAAAAAAATTAAATTAAATTAAATTAAAAATTAAAAATCAATCCATATTACAAGCTCGCTTTAGAACTATCTATTTATATATGTATAAAAGGCCCATGTTAAAAAACTTAATTGGGGTCTTGAAAGAGTCGGCAAATTTTTCTTTTTTATTGATTTTGCATTTTGTTGTTTTTGTAGACTCTGGAGTTCTTGGCACAAATATGGAGGCCTAAGGGAGGAAAATGGTAAAGCTGTGTGCTAGTTTACCATTAGCAATCGTTGTGCTTGGTGGACTTTTGGCAACAAAGCATACATTAAGGGAATGGGAGATGGTATACCAAAATGTTCGTTCGCATAAATGGAGTGACGACCCCATGCAACATGACAATGGAGTATCAAAGGTGTTAGATTTAAGCTACCACGATTTACCTTATCAATTGAAGCCATGTTTTCTATATTTTGGTCACTTTCCGGAGGATTCTAAGATAGATGCTGAAAGACTATATCACTTGTGGATAGCTGACGGTATAATTGTAGATGATGATAAAGTGGGGGATGAAACAATAATGGATGTCGCAAAACATTACTTGGGTGCGCTTGCACAAAGGTGCATGGTTCAAGTACAGGTAGAGAAGTATACTCAAAGAATCAATTATTGCCGCATTCATGACCTTATGTTGGAGCTGTGTTTGTCAAAGGAAAAAATGAATGATTTTCTTGGGATCATTCACCTCCAACGCGAAACTAATCTAGCTGATTGCTTTTCCACCACATCAACAACTATTGCTCCTAAAATACGCAATCTTGCTATTCATTTGAATAGGGATGTCAAAAGAGTTATACTCCCTGAATTGGAGACAACTAAACATCTAAGATCGATATTGTTTTGCAATTCAAGTAGTGTCAACGAGTCTTCAATAGAGTTGAACTCTCATTTGAAGTACTTCAAATTGCCTAGGAATTTGGATCTTGAAAGATTTGAGTTGGATGAAAAGTCAGTCAAATCAATAGGTAACTAATTAGCTTGAGGTACTTGAGTTTTAGAAGTTATACCGAAGTGGCATTTGTCTATCTGCAAGTTGAAATACTTGCAAACCTTGGATTTACGAGATTGCCGCTTCAAATCAGGTGAAGTAATAATCTTACATGGAATGGAACAATTGAGGCATTTGTTTGTTCCCTTGAATCTCAATGTTACATTAAAATTTGATGGGTTGAACAACCTCAAAATATTAGGAGGGTTTCGCACAGGACTTTGTGATGTCAATGATTTGTGTAAATTGATCAATCTTCGGCAACTAGAAAAGGCAACTTTCTATGAGTCGGACGATCAGGAATTTGTGGCTTTCATTAACTACCTAAACATCAGTGCCAACCACCTTCGACAAACATCCTTATCAGTTTAATTTTACAAAAAAGAAGAAGAATAGTTGACTCTTCTCAAACAACTGTTAGGGTGTCACCATCTTTACAAATTGAGTATTCATGGAATTATTCCCAAGTAACCAGAGTATTGCCAGGGTTTCTCTTCCAGCCTAATCGAGTTAACGTTCTGGGGATGTGAACTTAAAGAAGACCCTATGCCAACATTGGAGAGGCTACCTAACCTACAATATCTCGATTTAGGTGGGGGTTCCTTTGTGGGGGACAAAATGGTTTGCTCTGCTAATGGTTTCCCCCAACTCAAAACCCCAGAACTCCATGGTTCGCACTACATAAATGAGTGGGAGGTGGAAAAAGGAGCCATGCCCAATCTTTCTGCTTTAAGCATTAGTTATTGCTATGGACTGGAAATGGTTCCAGAGGGACAAAGATTCATTGCCACCCTCCAACAATTTACAACTTCTTGTATGGGCGAAAATTCCAATAACAAGCTTCGAAGGTGCAACGATGTAGAAGGAGAAGATTTTTACAAAGTGCAACATGTGTCTTCCCTTGACATTAAGTAAATTTCTTAATTCTGGATAATCCTTTCTTTCACAAGAGACGAAACAACTGTTGGGTCTCTTATCATTCCTTTCACATCCCCCTCATTGATTCTCATCATAAAATTTGTTGATATATCTCTCTTCCTTTTTTGCCTTTGTATTGGTTTAGGGGTGGACAAATTATCATATAATCCAAAAAAAAAAAATTAAAAAAAAAAAAACCAAACCGACATTATTGGGTTGGTTTGGTTTTTTTTAATACATTGGTTTAGTTTTCAGTCTTCCATTCTATAATTCAATAGGATTGGATTAATTTTTGGTTTAGGTTTTATCTATATCGAACAAACCTGATAACCAAATCTATATATTTATTTATATTATAAGATTCAATCTATATTGGTATGTTTTTGTCTAATTGGCCTATTCTAATGGATTTGATTGCAACTAATCATTTCTCAATATTTATTTTGATTTTTAGTCGATGGTGAGAAGCATAAGAACAAGAATGGGAAATGGATGAAGAAAATACTAGAAGGTAGACTTGGAATTTACGGTATTAGCTGTGTTCCTGGATTTGATTTAGTTTCGACGTATTTAAGCTTGAGTTGGACTTCACTATATTATTCACAGCTATTGGCTTGTATTAAACAATATTTATTTTATGTTTGTGTTAGATTTAAATGTTAAAGATTTGTTTATTTTAATTATTTATTTTTGATTGATTCATTTTTTTAGATTGGATTGAAGTATGTTGTTTCTCATATTTATTCCGCATATGAGTTATCTTTATTGTATTATTTTGGGGGCGTGACAACTTGGTATTAGAGCGTACCGGGTTTGAATACTTTGGGTATGTGGGAAGTGGTTAGTACCACAATGGGTTTGTCTCGCTTGTTAGAGACTTATGTATGATGTTATGTACTTATATGATAACATGCTTATGTGACTATATGTGTATGAAATTTAGTTTCTAGGTTGTTGATCGAATCTATGGGTTTCTGGGAGTCCTGTTGGAAAGGCACTTGATCACTGCCGTTTCTAACTGACACGAAACAGAGGGATTTGAAGTAAGACTTTTTTTATTTTTATAAAATTATGTAGGGGGAGGCAACCAAGGGCCGAGCCACTGGGCCTAATGCTCACCAGTCACAAGGCCAGTTTGATTTCCTTTTTTTATTTTTTTTTTTGTAACTTTCTTTTATGAAAGCCAAGCCAAACCTAATTATTTTATAATAAGGCTTATTTTGGGAAGTGAGTTAAAAGTCACTTCGCAATTTTTAACCAACTTTCCCTCTCATGTAAAAAAGTTAAAAAATTAAAAAAAAAAGTCAAAGTCAACTTTTAACCATCTTTCCAAAACACCCCAAGTCTATTTACACAAAAATCCGAATGACTTGTGTCCTATTTTGTGAATGATATCTGTGTCTATAATTATTGTTTATCTTAAGACAAATATAACAAGTGCCCCTAGGCGTCATATATATATTGTTAAAAGTAATGTTTTTCCCAGTGCCTATGTGACACATTATAGGAATTTACTTTTTTCTAAGAAAGTCACGTCAACATGTATTTTCTTAATTACTTATAGAATTCTACACAAACCCAAACATAATTTAAATTTATACTAACTTTACCTATTTTATATGGACATATATTGATAAAATATTTTTTTATATATATTTTTTTCATGGTAAATGGACAATCTACAAACCCAGTACTAATTTTCATTTCACTTTTTCTTCTTAATTCTTTTAAGGGTTTAGGATTTTTTTTTTCAATGCTAATGTCACGCCCCAAAACCGCCTACGTAGTTTTGGTGCCGTGATGGCCAGTAACCCGAGGTTACCGAAGGCCGTCTTACAAAATCACACACAATGAGTATAAAAATATGGGCTTACAAGTGCGGAAGCAATATATATACATATACAAAGTTTAAATAGTCCATGAGAGCCGTGCATAAGTCCAATGGAATGTCATACATCAACACCTTTACAAGTCTTACAATTTAGATACAACAAGATGAGATACAAAACACATCCTGACCAAAAGGCTTCTCAAGCCGACATATGCCAAAACAAGTAGAGAACATAAGCCGAGAAGCATGATCTTCAAGATGATGCAAAATGCTAATCCAAAACATGTCGCAATGCACCAAAACACATGCAATCACGCCTAGGCCTCAAGCCTTCTTGTTCATCACCTAATATATAGGAGAGGGTGAGCTTGGATATCAGTGAATGATATAGAAATAAAGGTTTTGCATGATTGATATCCAAGATTTCTTTCAAAACAATATGTAGTATACTTTACAATCAAGGGAAAATGTCAAGTTCATTTGCCGGTTTCAAGTTCCTTGGATGTTAATAACATCTACTTATCTCAAGGGGTGGATGACATATCAAGACAAGCTGTGCTGCGAAAGTTTAGAGTCCTCTAGCACTAAGGACTGTCAAGAACAAGCTGTGCTGCGAAAGTTTATAGTCCTCTAGCACTAGGACTGTCAGACAAGCTGTGCTGCGAAAGTTTATAGTCCTCTAGCACTAAGGACTGTCAAGACAAGAGTGCAGTTGCATTATAGTCCCTGCAGCTAGGGACTTTCAAGACATGTCATCAAAACAAGATAGTGCTTATATACAATTAGGGATAGTCATTCATGCTAAATCAAATACTTTTCAAGACAAGGCAAAACAAGATTTATCAAACAAGTGTAACATAGCTTTATTAAAAATACCACTCACTTCGTTTCTTCACACGTCGGGGTCGAGACAAGCCCAAGTCTTACAACACATGGCAAAGTATCTATGAATGCGCTTTCAAACAAGTCTCTCATGTACCAAATGTTTCGGGAAACATGCTGGGCACCAATCAGGTCTAGGCCGAGGTTCCACACCTCTTTGCGAGGTGTGTTCCCGAGGGCCACATGCAAGGAAAAGAGGTCGGGAAACTCTGGGTTTTCCCTCTGTGCTGGAATATGAAGAACATGAGTATGAAAATATGGAAAATATGAATGTTGATGATACAATCTGCCATCGCATCTGGGATTTTCATGTTTCAAGTTTGAAAACATGGACCTGGGTCCCATAGTTGAAAATCATGCAAGAACAACACAAAACTGAGTCTAGTCAAAAAGCTTTCGGATCAAAACATGACTTTTCTTGAAGAACACATGAATGTCATTTTCTCTTTCTAAAACTGAATTTCAAGACGATGCATGGCTTACAAATCATGTCCGATCATGCAATGCAATACATGAACATAAAGAACATCACGAGTAGATCAAGAATCTAACCTTAGAACGCGGATCTAACGGTTGGATTCTTAGAAATCAAGCTTGGAGATCTACTTCCTCACTCTAAAGCTCCTTCTTCCTCCTAGATGTTCTCTCTCTCTACAAGACAAGGTTATGATACTAAATGATAGTTTTCGATACCCGGTTCTGGGGTTAACCCTCTGCTGGGACACGTGGCGGCGACTGATTGGGTTCTGACTGAAAAGGTGACTGACAGACCAGACAAGGGCATGGTGGAAGGGTGTTCAACAAGCAAAACGGTATGGGCTCTCTGACGGGGCAATGACATCGGCTAACAACAAGGCGTATCTAACAAGGCACAGAATGACACTCCGGCAAGGGGTGACATCGGCTAACAAAGACTTCGGCAACTAAGGTGACAATGACCTCGGCTAGGAAGGACAACACTTGACTAAGCTGTGCCACATCTTGGCCTAGATGCGCCACACTCGGCCTAGGTCATACCACTTCCAGGACGAGATCGCTAGGGTGCAAGGTAACATCTCGGCTAATGTGGTCAAGGCAAGGACTGAGGTCGACGAGGGGTTTTCAAGATACTAAGGCTGACTAAGGAAGACCTCGGCATTGAAATAACGTCGGGCTAGAGGCAAGGCGTGACCTAAGTTTTCACATCAAGGAAGGAACAGACAAGTACACTACACTTAGACAATTCACAAGGCTTCAAATCAAGGCACGGGATCTCACTTGCTAAAGCGAA